CGTTCCCCGGCGGCTGCACCTCCCCGGGGGTGTTTTTGCTCTCCTGCAGTAGATAGAAGTTGATGTATATTACCAAAATGCGTGTTACTACGGATAATGTACTCAAAAAATCGTTCTATGTCGTCAGTTTAGCCCCCAAGAGCCGGGGAGGCATCCTGCAAGCGGAAAAGCACTCATTTTACCGCATAAGTGCTCGAAAGCGCGGCATAAGCAGCATAAGCGTTTATTTCGGTGGATTTACGCCGATTTACAGGATTTACGGCCACGTGATGCGTGGATTTACGGGCACGTCACGCCCTCCGTACAATCACATCAAGCCGCCGCCGCTTCGCGCGGCGTTCCCGAGCGCTTCTCCCCATCAAACCCCGAGAGCTTTGGCGCCCTTGTCGGGATATTCATTTCGGGACCCCAGGACGCGTGGCGAATAATTAGAACGCGTCTGACGCGTTGAGGACCCATGTGCTCCTCGTCAAATAGCATTATTTCTCATATTTAGAGCCTCTGTATCTAGTAAGAATGATTATGTACAGTATACTGCTTGTATTCACCATGAATCTGACACCCCTCGGGACCTTGCAATGCGGTGGGACTACAATCTTCGCGCTGTACCGGCTACCTTGGGCCATCAGCCACCGTTGACCCCGGGTCACGGCAGGGTCGATTTACGTGGATTTACAGTACCTCATGTAAACTAAGCCAAATAACTATACTTATGGGCACAGAGAGCTCCGAAACACTCCCGCGGTCAAACAAACAGGCAGGTGTCGAGTGTAGCGATTCACAGCCCATTGTCTCGGAGAAATTCAGGTGTATGTACCAGTAGGTCTTCTGCACGCCGCGGTTGCTGCAACGGTATGAGACCACGTCGACGCTCACGACGGCGAAGGTGGATATCAAGATGTACTGTGTGATGCTGCTCGGCCGGCGTCGTGACCGTTGCGAGGCGACCGCTGACCGAACACGCGCCTGAGCGAAAGCAAGCCAAACTCCGGCTTTCCTGCCTCGACGCTGGACGCCGCACGTCTCTCCTCTCCGTCCGGGTCCTCGGCCTTCTTCATCAACGCGCAGAAGAAAAATGGCTCTGCCGGTGCCGCAGAGACGCGCTCGACATTAACCCAGGCGAGCGCGGTTCGCAGCCCCGGTGCGATGCACTCTGCCCATCGCACACCCACCTCTCCCGCTCCTTCCGCACACCCCTCGAGACGCTCACTCGGTCCCCCTAACCCACCCGCACCGTCCCCGCGGGTGGGGGGCAGTCATCGTGCAGGCTTAACTAGACCCGGTGAAGTCGCGGGCAGCATACTGACCATCACCTAGCACAACACCATGCCTTGACTCCGCTCCGATCGTCCACGATCTACGTAAGTAGCCAAAAAACAGTCAATTGGGAGCGACTGGGCAGGACCCATAGCCCTCGTCTCACAGGCAACCCGACTTGGCTTGCAAGTAAGTCATAGTCCGTGTCTCGTCCGACGCCCTGCTTCCGGCCGGCGAAAGGCTCCGGTGTCTTTTCACACTGGCCCCGGCGTACGCCCGTTTTTCCTCATCGCATCCCCTGGTCTCCAACACGGCGCGCTGCGCACCGACGCTCCATGGGTCCTCTCACATCGCCGAGCTTCAATTTCCCGCTGAGGCCACGTCGTTAGCTGCCTCCGTACGGATCCACCGTCGCCCAGCCCTTCCGCATCCGCCACCGCAGGATCTGCGATTCTCTGCCCCCCGTCCTCTCCGTCTGTACGTACGCGTACGCATACCGTCATGAGATCACTCTTCCCTTCCGGCGGATGTGGCTAAACATCAGGCTCGGCCTCCTCTCCGCTGTCCACGCCTCGCGCTCCGCCATCACCAGCAGAGCGGCCACGGCGATATCTGAATCACCTTGGCATCTAGAGCCCCAGGCGCGGGGACGTCTGTGCTCGTACCTTATCTTGACTGAATCTGCTGGAGGATAACCTGCCGGAAGAAGCCCCGCCTCACCTAAGACGCGGGAGCGAGTGCAAGGACGCGCGACAGTATAGGAACGCGTTGCGCGCGGTAACGGTGCGTCGCGCTTTCCCGAGTCGGTTCCGTATCTAGACTGGACGCGTGTTGGTCAACTTTCAGGGGTCTGGGTGGGTAGGCGCACGGACGCGTCCGCCGTCCTGCGTTGTCGCCCTCGTCTCCGTATGTTACCGTGTTATGATTGCTGGCACACCAACAGCAAGTCATAGAGGAGCAGTGAGCAGAGCCGCAAGGATCAACCACCGCGGCTGATGGTAAACGAATGGGCTGGTTCACTTCTTCGGGAACTGTGTGCAATCCGTGGGCACTGCTTTCGATTCTCCATAGGACCGGAGACATTATGAGGATGGCCATGGGAGAAGCAGTGTTATAGATAGAGAGCAGCAGTCAAAGCAGTGGTACAATGCGAGATGGGATACAGTATAACTTAAAGCAAACGCAAAGCAAAGTCCTCTCTAGCACGGGTCTCCACGAGCCTTTGCAAAGAGAAGAAACCCAAAGATCAATGAAGCGATAACTACGATAGCATAGCCGGCGCGTCAACGCGTGAAGCTTTCTTCGCCCGCGTCTGAGAACGCGTTCCTGCGCTGGCTTCGGTGATTCATCAGGTTTGAGAAGGGCGACGAATACATGTCATGCTCGGTGCCCAGCTTGACCCGCGCCGCACGCGTCTTCCGCCATGTACTTACTGTACTTTCCACCACGCGCCGCGAACGCCCGAGTGACCTCAGTCGAACTCCCGGTCAACTTGCACTCGAGGCTCGCGAGCGCGCTGAACGCGGCGGAGAGAGGTCGATGCTGCCCGGCGCGCACCCGGGGCAGAGGTCGCGGCGGTTGACTATATGTACACATGGGGTGAGAATAAGTCAAGGAAACAGGGGGACGGGGATGGGAAGGGGGAAGGGAGCAAAGAGAAGGGATGGAGACGCACAGTCGACCGTGATGTGCTTGAAACGGTGCCCGCGGCCCGCTTAGTAGGCTGGGGACAACGCAAAGATGGGGTCTGAGAGAGGGAGGCGGCGCTGCGGGAGTGGTGATTGCGATATGTTTAGATGCATGCGTGCCGTGGCCGAGTGAAGGATAATCATATATTCAAAATCTCCTTATAAAGTCGTCGGCGTTGCCCTCCGAGTAACTGCAGATTGGTGGACGTCCTGTTCTAGCGAGTAACTCCATTTGTTCGACCTCGCGCGGGTATCGACTCGCCGTGAGGTTGAGTCAGAGGCGTCTGGAAGCATCGGCACAAATTTGGCCTGCCCAATTTTTGACTTAATTAGTACGTGCGTTGACGGGGGGCGAAGATTGTTGTTGCATTGAATGTTTCTATGCGTAGCATATTGTAGGGGAGTGTGTAGAAAAATTGACGGGAGCTGGAATATAAACCTGGGCGTGGTTAGGGGTAGCCCGACGTGTGACATCACAAGCATCACGCGTGTCGTGACGTGACAGTGTCACCGTTCGTGGTCGCGTACCATCTTCATCGATTCTGCCACACTGCACAAACACAGAATTCAACAAGAGCCAAACAAGGCCACAAGCGACCAAACTATGCCCATATTTGAGCACGATTCTCTGCGGCTTCGCCACGTACGTCTTTTCACGTTCACCTGCCCCCGAGACTCACGAAATGCCTGCCCGCATTGCCCGCTCTGCTCCTCCTCGCAATGGTAATGCGAATCGCCTGGATTATTCTCGCTCTCGCTCTCACCTCTCTAATAACGACCGTGTTGACCTCTACCACAAATTTTCTTCCGAAAAGCTTAAACAAACTGTGCACCGTCAGGTCGCAGGCGCGGAAGCTGCCAAGTTGGTCCATGGACCAGTGGATATTGATTCCTTTCTGGAAATCGACTGCTTCCCTGGGATGAAGGTTTGCGGCGTGAAGAACGAGAGAGTGGTCAATATTACCGACTTGCTACGCCAAGTCGACCCGACAATTATTGGAGCCAACAAACGGTCGGAACGACTGATGTATTCACCTCTGGTAAGCTGTGATTTTCCTCAAAGTGACACTGATGGACTCACCAGTCTTGGTGGCAAAGGCTGACGCTCTGAATGAAATCGCCAAGAAGGCCGTTACAGGCCGTCCCTTGCCTGTGAAGTTCGACGTTTGTGGAGACCTACGGCCGGCAGAGGAGATTGGCGGTTTCCGAACTACACCCGACCTATCCATCCAACCACAGAGAAAACGTAAGAACAACGGTTCTTCGAGCGACTACTGGGCTCGCGGACTGGGCGTAATAGAGGTGAAGGCCACGGAGCAAGAGGATCCGTGGTACCAGAGGGTGTCGACAAGCGCGGGAGAACATGAATTCACCGAGGTGCAGTTGAAGACGTGGAATCAGATCCAGGAATATGCCGTCATGGCGTACCGAGCCGTCCCCCGCTGCTTCCTCCTCGGCATGGGTTTCTTTGGTGACGTCGTCCGTTTCTTCCGATGGGACAGATCGTCCGCCATTGTCTCTGATCCCGTATACTATAAACTCGACCCTACTCCGTTGATCACATTCGTCGTCGGCCTCGCCAAGTTTGCCAATAGCGGGATCGACAGGACGGCGCATGCGAGTCTCAGCACCAAGGCTGAACTTGCGCTCGTTCACAGCTGCTACGACGAGGCGGTGCATCTTGGGATCCTGTTGGAGTATACGCCACGTCGCGACGGAGACACCTTAGATGGCGAGAGCACCCGCATCGTAGTGGAATCCCCACAGAATCCCGGCCTACATGAAAATTTCATTTCCATCGGACGACCGATGTTTTATAGCAGGTCCATCCGTGGACGTGGAACTCTAGTCTGGCTCGCGAAGAGAGCCGGCCGGAGCGATGACGGTTTTGTTGTTATCAAGGACACATGGCGAAATGAGAGTCGTTGGACGGAAGGGAAGATTTATAGGTCGATATACAAGGGGGCGGAGTCTGTTTTTGGCGTGGCCCGCTTCTACCACGACTTCGACGTCCCAGATCCGGTTTCGAAGGAAATGCCCTGCTGTACCGCTGCTGCAAGGCTGAACGAGGAAGGGACGGACCTCACCGAGCGCATCCATCATCGTTGCGTCTTGTTATCGGTCGGTAT